TATAGGCTACACTAACATGATGTTTAGGTGGTTCATTTAACTATTATACATGATATACAGTGTGTCTATAAAGTCTTTCTACAATTTAAAAAATTTATTACAAAGGCAATAGAACAAGTCTGATAAAGATATCTTATCCATTACCTTTGTAATAAATTTTTTAAATTGTAAAAAGACTTTATGGACACCCTGTACATTTTTTGGGGAGTGGTTAATGAAAGTGTTCCAAAACGCGACCTTAATTTCTTGATGACCTAATACTTGGATTTAAATGTTCTGATATGGAGTGTCAGCCATAGACTTGATGTGTTCCCACTATCAAAAGTCCATCAGTGTTAGGTGAAAGCATAGTGTCCAGTGTAACATTCCTGCAAGGCTGTTCCAGTAGTTTGGCACATTGCCCCAGTGCCTTACAAACAGAAAGAGCAAAATGGAGAGATGTTATCTTAATGGTAGGAAAATGTACCAAAAACTCCATCAGCTTCCAACTACAGAAGGATAAAGTTCTCCAGCATATCCAGGTATGTGACTTAAGTGACTATTTTCTTTTAAAAGAATAAGAGACTGAAACTCGTACCAATTGACAACTGATTATATTTTTTTAACAATAAGTCAATTGAAGAATTAGTTTGATTTAATTCGGGCTTTAATTTGAAGTAAACAATATTTCTTTGATACATAGACATTTCTCCTTATTACATTTCAATGGGATCTTAAACATGAATAAGTCAATTACCATGTCAAAGTCTTGAATAGCAAACTTATCCAAAGCTTTATATTTGAGTTTTAGACCAGAATATAAGGACTGCAAAATTTCTTTAGCTTTAAAAACAGTATCATATCTAATAACATCAAAAGTGGTTTATGAATTTAAATGTACTGGATGCAGCTCTAAGTATACAAGAACACAAATTTGTTAAGTGACAACAAATCTAGTATAAAATATCCTACTATTTGAGATTCTGACATAGCATTACACTCATCCATGTTTAAGATCCTGTCCAAATGCAATGATGAGAGAAACCTACATATCAAAGAAACATTGTTAATTCAAATTAAGATATGAACTGAACTAGTTTATCAATTGATTATTGGTAAAAAATAAAAGACTAGCTATTTGATTGTGACACAGTACATGAAATATTTGTTTTTGTTAGTCTTGTACATACAGTTGAGGTATGTGGTTTTCACCTCCTCAAGATTGATAGTTATGTCTGTTTATTTCCTCATTGAACATGGTAACACAATTTAGGAACATATTGTCATGATCTATTCAGTCGTGAAACATGGTACACCATCTGAATTTTGTATGCATATAATACTGACTCTCGGTACATCAAGCTCAACAGAAGCCCCCCACACAGGCCTTTACAGGTTGCATTTAAAGGCCTCGTTTACTGAGACAGTATTGTCTTCATCTTTTCTACATCATTCAGTGCATATAACCCTGTATCCTTGATATGCACATATTTTAGGTTGATGCTTGTACTGGATACTTGTCAGAACTGATGTTGCATATGAGCAACATATTTGAATTCTGTGTATAACAGAATGACGTTTGCTTTTTTTGCTCAACATTTACCATTTTGACTCTGTCTATTGGTAAAACCTTTAATGTTAGTTTAGACTAAAGTTTACGAGATGGAGTACAATTTAAGGATTTTCAGACCAAAGTGCATAGTGCTGCGTGTCTCTCTTTTTTTGTTTTTCTAGGTTTAAAAGTTTTTATGTTTTAAAACATGTACAACCATTTATAAACAACCTATATATATATATATATACTAGAATTGACCCATTTATTAATTTTATTAGTAATATATATTGATTCTTTCATTAGTGTGTTTCTTCTTCTGGGCGAGACTCATTTGGTTCACCAGATGGTGCTATGTCACCAGGAGGTATGTAGTTAAAAAATGTTGAAGACATTAAAATAAGATTGATTTGTTTAAAGCAAACTAGAGTTTATTACTAGACGTTTTTAGTAATGTAAATGAAATAATGATCTATATCTCCAGAATGTATCCTTTATCAACTCAATATTTTGCTATCCTGCTTCGTCAGGAGCTGTCAGTAACCTACAACTTAACTAATCCAATTTAATTTCAACTGGATTAGGAAACATATATTTTATCAATAGCTCTTGATGAAGCTATAATAATACAATAATTAGTTAATAAAGATAAATTCTGGAGATATAAATTATTATCTCAGTTACATAATTAGAAATGTTTAACTTTTATATATTGTGTATATATATTAGTTTAACCCTTTCACCATGTAATTGGATTTCATGATCAGTCCAAATCAATGTCGTTTCTCCATCAAAAAAACATTATAAATTAGCAGTATATTTTGCTGTATTAATATATATAAAAGACATACTTACATTGCATATCTTGATATTATAGTGTGAATAAGTTAATCAAATTATGGTAAATAATGACAGAGAAAATACGACAATCGGCTGATATATGTGAGTGTGGGTGCCTTGTGTCGTCTGCTGGCTTAGGCCCCAGGTGAAGGATTGTTTACCTTGTGTTTCCCACTCATGTTTCTAGTTGTCAGAATACCTGCTGTTTGGCAGTCAATTCAAACTGGTGGAGGGTTGTTACTTTCTGTTGTAGGGGGAAAATGTTTTTGATGGCTGAAGAGAAAAGTTGATCTTCTCTGTCAACTATAGTAGCTTTTCATGGTGAAAGGGTTAAGAATGGAATAAGAATTCTTGAAATATAAATAAAGGTTTGAAGGATTGATAACATTTTTTAGTTGTATTTCAGGTTTAAGCATTTTAATATAGTATTAATGTATCTAAATTTCAGATGGACAGCAACTACCTGTTGTAGAAATCTACAAATGTAGAGGACGATGTTTCGAAAGTCTTCCGCATGAAGATGAAAGGCGGAAGACTTTCGAAACATCGTCCTCTACATTTGTAGGTTTCTACAACAGGCAGTTGCTGTCCATTAAAAACTAAGATTCATTATGAA